CTGGGTTAGGTTAGGTTAGGTATTATTCGTCATATCCAGCGTTTTTCCTAATGATGTGCCGTAAAAAGCACGCGTGCACTCGCAATTGGAACTCCGTTCAAACTAAATATTCTGTCTTCGGCTTACTCAAGTAGGTAACTACCTGTTTGATGGAGAACTCGTTTCCCGTTCAAACTGATGACGATAAGCAATTATATGATTTTACCCCTTCAAAAAAAAATGCACAAATCACTCCATCTATGCGTCGGCGGCCGCATTCTCAGATGATGTCTGGAGATACATCCGTTGGCATATAGAGCAGGCTTATTTTTAAGAGGGGAAAATCATCGAATGACTGCTCCCGCCTGGGTGAGGCGGGAGGGAGTATCAGACTCTTACTGACTAAAAACCACCCCGTTCCTTCTCCTGCACGTCGAGCAGGAGCCCCAGTTACCCGTTAGGTTCTCCGCGACATATACCTCTAGAGCAGGCTTAACAAGTTATCCCACGGGAACGCGAGTGATATATGTATATATCACTCGCGTTCCCGTGAAATATGTATATATCACTCGCGTTCCCGTGGGATAAAAAGTACCCTATATATTGTTGCAGACCATAATCTATCCCTATTTCAAATTTCATCCCGATTCCTCTAGCCGTTTTGACGTGAAAGAGTAACAAACAGACACACACACACACAAACACACACACACAGACACACACACACAAACACACACACATACATACATCCTCAAAAACTTTGGCATTTATATTATTTGCAGCATTAACATTAAATAAGTATAATTTAAATACAATCTACTTACATAGCGATAGTAATAAAATAAATCTCGATAACATATTACCGCAAGCACGTCGTCTTCAACACAACTACAAGTAAAATTAATTAAAAACATATCTGATTAATTAGATTTTGATTACTAATTGTTTATTGATAGTTAATTATTGTAATGCGTTGGAATCGTATTATACCTATCATGTTTTATGGATGTAAGTTGGTTACATAACGTCCCACGTGTTTCGCCACAAAACAGGAACAACATAACATACCATCGCCTTTATCCCCGAAGGGGTTGGCAGAGGTGCACACTATGTCACTGTACAATGCAACACCCACTTTTCACTATTTATGTTAAGAGGTCTGACGGAACGCTGGCTCACACTGCGGTAGAGAAAGCGAATCTATTTGCTTCTCTATTTGCGGAGTCTTCGCGTCTCGACACTGGTGGCGCCTTGCCTCCTTCTGTTAATAGCGTATGCGAGACGAATATGTCGCAAATTCGCATTCGACAGAGGGAGGTATATAGGACGCTACGCGATCTGGACGTGAACAAGGCCAGTGGTCCCGACGGAATCCCAGCCCTGGTTTTAAAAACCTGTGCGCCTGAGTTGTCTCCAATCTTGACACGTCTGTTTCGCCTTTCCTTAGAGACGGGTCTAGTACCGGTTGCATGGAAGCTGGCCAACGTACAGCCTGTGCCTAAAAAAGGTAGTCGTGCCGACCCTAACAATTACCGCCCTATTTCGGTCACGTCCATACTCTGCAAGAGCATGGAACGTGTTCTTAACAATAGACTCCTGGCATACCTTGAAGGTAACGATCTCCTCAGCGATCGGCAATACGGGTTTCGACGTAACCGATCGACTGGGGACCTTCTTGCGTATGCCACTCACATATGGAGCGAGGCCATAGAGGGGCACGGAGAGGCACTAGCAGTCTCCCTCGATATTTCGAAGGCTTTTGACAGGGTATGGCACGACAGTCTAATCGGCAAGCTTCCTGCATATGGACTTCCTACTGGTCTGTGCATATGGATAGCAGACTTTCTGAGGGATCGGTCAAAACGAGTAGTCATCGATGGCTGCTCGTCTGACCAATTCGGTATTAATGCCGGCGTCACTCAGGGGTCAGTACTTTCAGCGACGCTCTTTTTGCTGCACATAAACGACCTGCTTAAGCCCGGTATCTTTGGGTATGCAGATGACAGCACAGTTGTTGAAAGGTATGTGTCCGGTGCGCGGACTAGCGGAACACAGATCCAGTCTTTAAGAGAATCCATGGTCGAACGTTTGAACTCGACCTTGAAGGCGGTGTCCGACTGGGGTGACGCCAACTTGGTTAGGTTCAATGCTAGCAAGACCCAGGCGTGTCTATTCTCCGCCAAACGGAGTCAATTTCCGCTGACTCCTACTTTCCGGAATGTATCCGTACCGATAACCGATCGTCTTGAGCTTCTTGGTGTAACTCTGACGCCCACGCTCAACTTTGGCTCCTATATAGAGTCAAAAGCGCAACTGGCAGGTAGGAAGTTGGGTGTCCTATGGAGGGTGAGACGGTACTTCACGCCGAGCCAATTGCTGAGCCTGTACCAAGCACAGGTTCGGTCCTGTATGGAGTACTGCTCTCATCTTTGGGACGGCTCGGCTAAATATCAGCTGGATGCGTTAGAGCACATTGAGAGGCGTGCCAGGAGGCTCATCGACGATGATGCGCTTGTGAAGGCTCGGCTTCAAAGCCTCGAACACAGGCGTAAGGTTGCAAGCCTTTCGGTTTTCTACCGGATACATTTCGGGGAGTGTGCAGGGGAATTGCACAACTTGATTCCCCCTAGTCCCTTCCATCATCGTACCACAAGACAATCCGCAAAGCGTCACCGATTCATGGTAGATGTTCCGCCCACACGCACGAAGCGCTTCGCTTCAAGCTTCCTTGTGCGTACTGCTAAAGAGTGGAATTCTTTGCCAGAGTCTGTATTTCCTGAAGGGTATAACCTGGGAGTCTTCAAGGCCCGAGTGAATAGGTTGCTTTTGGGACGACGTGCTCCAACGTAGACCGCATCATCGCTTACCATCAGGTGAGATAGTGGTCAAAAAAAAAGAGTCCCATGTAATAGGGGGTGAGCCTATTGCCATATACCGGGCACAGTTCCAGACTCCGTGCTACTACTGAGATTTTTTGAAAAACTCAGTAATACTTTATCGAACCCGAGACCCCTTGATCGGCAGTCACACTTGCGACCACTCGTCCAATGAGGCAGGAATAACATTTATATAATAACTGTCGTGAGACATACTAAATTAACTAAAATCGCGGGTTACTCACGTGAATATACTGAGACAAGCTGTAGAGCTTTTCGTAGTATTAGTACTAGTAGAAACTAGTAGTAGTAGTTTCGAGCCACAGAGGGATTCTTCCTCATATTTGTATCAGTATCAGTAGGCTACGCGACATCGCCGCGACCTCGCGCGCTGCTCATGAGGTTTTTTATATTTTATGTTGTATATTTTAAGGTGTTGAGTTAAATAGAGACTTAACTTAATTTTAGGATGTTTCCAGCAATTTTTTAAGAAATAAGTTTGCTGATTATAGCCCAGAAAACTCGTATACTAACGTCATTCGCCCAAAAAATACACTCTCTCGTATACCTAAAATTAATAGAAAACTGTCGTTATTAAAACACAATTCGAAAAAAGTATTGAATTTGACTGGTTGACAAGTACCCAAATTTTTCTGTCATAAATACATTATTTCCATATTAATAAAATAATTATGTAAATTAAACGTAGGTATCTAAATTCAGGGTATATGAAAATGTTAATTAACTTGCAACACCGTAATGTATGAAATGTACCTACCATATAAATTACAGGCCATGTTAAGTAACAGATGTACTTCGTGTCAATGTGTGTATGTTGTGCGTGTAAATCTATAGTAGCCAGGGACTACAGTCCTTGTTCCAAGAGACTGTGTCCACCTTTTTTTCAACGACCTTGAGTTCGACATTAAAAGTGTGTTACAAAGCGAAAGACCTCCTTTATTTTTTGTCAAAAACCCATGCGAAGGGGACAAATATGATCTTCCGTAGAAACGTTATCCATAGAAAATATCAGTCGACTAAATATTCCTAGGGATCCACATAAAAGATAAACATCGGTCATCCGTCAGGCTCACCCGCCCGGAAATTGGGCCCTTCGGGGGCCGTTTTTGGTGCCGACTCATTCCGGCGTCCATACACAATTCAAAATACTCGTAGTTCCAGGTTTGGGTGAAAGGTGAGACACGTGATGATAAACAAGGCATTTAAACAAAATTGCCAAAATTATTGTGAAAAAAGATTTTATATATCAGAGGTGACAATTACTCCAATTTCACATTTCTTGGTAATTGGGTCTCTGGTAACCTCATTCACATGACAAAACACAACGCAAGTTGTTTCACGTCGATTTTCTGTGAGACCGTGGTATCACTCAGGTTGCACGGCTCCCCCATACTTAAAATGATGTCTGTATGGTGTTTACAATTACTAATCAGAATAGGAAGTCACATAAATTCCATTTTTTGTCACCAAAGTGACCTGGCACTACTTTTACACTGCTAGAGAAAACGTTTTCCATCGCTAGGAGTTGTGTGGGAAACCCCGAAACCCCACTGTATCGTGCTAGAGTTTACTATGAGATACTGAAAGATACACAACAATTTGTGGACAATACAACGAATTGTTCCGTGGAATCGAAGCCACGACACGTTGAAGTCAGTTGCCCAGCGACTGCGCCAACCGTGCAGGCAATAAATAATTATTTGTACTTTGTCCCGTAAATTTAAGTATTCGTATTTGTAGGTCAATCGATAGACCATTACTTTTGCGCAGGTCTTTGTTTGTAGCGAGTCTATTGTACACGCCAAGACAGATAGTGTCATTAAAGGCCAAAAACGTTGTTAAATATTAGTAGAATGAAACCCACAGCAAAAGAAAGAGAATGTGCCCAAGAAATAGAGAAAAGTTAATTTCGAGCGATCTGAGATCGGAAATTTTAGAAGAAAAATAATCAGACGTTGCAGAGAAAGTAAAGTCCTGTGTAAAATAGTTTAATAATAAAGTTATTGATACTAAAACGATGTACAACTTGTATGTACCTTTTCGATATAAATTCTCATTTGCGCGATAATAACAAAATACCGGATTTTTGTTTCTTCTTCATGTTTACCTTTACTAATAAAATAAATGTCTAACATACATTTTTTCTCATTCTTTCCAGTTCACCTTCAGTTTGAAGAGCTGACGCTACGCGACTACGTGCTTCACTCCATAGTGAACAACTTTATCATAGGCAACTTCACCCCAACCACCTTCGCCGAGCGGCCGTGCAGAGATGATTCTCTTCCATATTTCCTACCGAAACACAGGCGTTCCGAGCGCTCAAAACATATGAAAAAGACCAAAAGATACGGGGATACCTACAGGACATTCGGAGACTATAGTTTAAAAAGTGTAGATAGCCTTAGTGATGGATATTACTTCAGACCAAAGTATCGTAGTTATAGTAGAGATGAGAGGTCGGTGTACAGAAGGATTGCCAAGAGTTTGCGAATGAGAAGACGGTATCTGCCGGCGAAGGTGGTGAGTGGACCGCTGGCCAGCAGAACGTCGGTACTGCTGCAGTGGTCGCTGAACGACGCCGTGCATTTAGATAGTGAGGGGACTAGTGTTGTTTTTAGGTAAGTGCCTACATCGTTATCAATTTTGAGTAAGTAGTATTTACAAAGTCTAAAATAATCATGTTTCTATTTCTATTTTTAACCGACTTCCCAAATAGAAGGAGTTGTCAATTTCGACCGGTATTTTTTTCTATGTATGAAGTCAAAGTCAAAGTCAAAATCATTTATTTCAATTAGGCCAGAATGGCACTTTTGAACGTCAACAAAAACAAAAATTTAAAGTGAAGCTATTTGCTCATTCCAAGGCGTAGATTCCTATGGAGAAGAACGAGCAAGAAACTCCATAGGTTACTATTTTTCAATCAGGTTCACAATACAATTTACTAGTTACATAGTTTTGCTGTTTGGATTGTGCGAGAACAATGTAACACTAAAATCCAGTCAAAGTGATCAAAAAAGAAAATAACCAATTACACAGAATGATTCAATTACACCGAGGTAATTAATCTAACTTAAGTGAAAATTCTCATGCAATTTCCGTAAAAAGTAGGAACATACTGTTTATTCCAATTTTCTTAGAAACTGATCCCCAGAGCCCTGACATCACATTTTCTTGACAAAGTAATAAGAATAACAAGGTTTCCTCCTAAGACTACGAACCTTTAACGTGATAATAGTGACCGCAGCCCTATCTGACCGTAATCCCGAACCTCTGGAGCCCTATCATCATAATTTAGTGGGATTCATCGGCCTTTACAATCTTTATACTGGACCTCGCTTACAAACTACTATCGCAAGGACGTAAAGACGTTGCCTCGTAGGTCTAGTTTGTTGGTAAAAGATAAAGGTTCGTACTAACATGTAAAAGTGCTTCATTGTATTTGCAGAAATAAATTCACTTGTTTCACTTGTTCGATTATGAACTTTAAGGTTTAAATTTTTTATTTTGTAGCTCTAGTTCTACAAACAAGAATCAAAGCGGGACAGCATTGTTAATCGGGCATTTAGTAGCTATCGCCTATGAACCTTTAAACACACACTTTGTGCCCACAACAAAACGGTTAAAGGTTAAAAGGTTTTTCGACTGTCCATCGTCAAAAATTAACAAGTCACGTATGACGCTGTATCGGTTCTGCACACCAACACCACTCGAGCCGTCTTAACGGTCGTTGCATAGGTTTGACTATTAAAATTTTCACATAGTTTCCGCAAACGGAACAATTTTGCGTCCCAAAGTTCATTTCGAGGAAACGGGGCTTGTAATCATAAAAAGGGACGGTCCCGTTCAAAACCGGACGGCTGCTTACGTTGTATATACTATTGCAATAATCAAAAATAAAAAACTCTAGCCACTTATCAACTATGCACAGGCAGGGCACTACGTGAAACTAATACTTTATTTAAATGGTGTTCTTGTAGACAATTCTCTATTAATATCATTTGTACTCAGTTATTTACACAAAAGTATGTTAAGTATTGGAATAAAGCGAAGGACAAAATGTATTGCAACATGGTCCCGAATTTTAAACAATTGTTGCAGCAAATAAGTAATATTGTAAGTATTCCCAAAGTGTTCCGATCGACTTCCACAAATGATGACAACGGAATAGAAACGTTTAAAATATCAGCAAACAAAATATAAAAGCGAACTGCGAACGCGACTGAAAACGAAACTCTATTCTTTGAAGCTAAGATTTTGTTTACAAAATTGCAATAATACTTTTTAAAAGCGCTGCGTCTGAACATAATGTGGAGTTTCAAACCATTTTATTTGAATTGCGGCCACGAACAGTTGCCAGTCCTTTGTGGCATTACATTCATTGTTTCTTGGCCTGTTTACTATGTCGAATTAAAAAAATAACGGCCAGACGAACTTTCCCGCTCTCCGGTCGCCATATTTGATGACAAATCTGAATGTAGTGGCGTAGCGCCCTCTGGCGTTATTTTTGAAGAGTAGGTAACAACAGGCCTTTGCGCCTTTTCATGCACGTATGATATTTTCTAGCGACTCATGATTTGTCACAAGTAAGGATTTTATGTATTAGGTAGTAAGCGGGGGAATTGGATGTTTAAGTAACAGAAATCATAATAATAAATAATTATGCCAATTAGGTGCCAATAGTCATTCATAGTTCCAAATTTACTGGTCCACAGCAACCCATCCGTAGCCCTATTTGTTTTTTTTTCCATTATCTACCTCTACAATATTTCTACATTAACCAGGGTGCACTGTGCTTGTGTTCATTTCCATAGTGCATACAGAGATAGTCACCGGTTTGTGTGTCCATTACATTTAGATTAAAGTTGTTTAAAGGGCCTCTGCGTACTCGGTTGAGGAGCGAACTCCCTCATACGCCTTCCTAATGACCGGGACCATAAGGTCCCATAAATAGTAAAAACACAAAATTTGTGTCTATTTAACAATTATTTACTAACAAGCTACTTCCGCACGGTTTCACACGCTCTGCTTAATAGGAGCTCCTATTGGTCGTAGCGTGATGTTTTATAGCCTATAGCCATCCTCAATAAATACACTATCCAACACAAAAAGAATTATTCAAATCAGACTTGTAGTTACGGAGATTAGCGCGTTCAAACAAACAAACAAAAAACAAACTCTTCCGCTTTATATAATAGTAAGTATAGGATTACAAATATTTTAAATGAAATGCATTAAAGTGATGTGTGATGTATGTTGATATTGATATGGTATATAAATAAACGAATTTTGAATAATTAAAATTTTTCTTTCTGTTAGACAAAAAAAGAAGAAAGAAAGGAAAAACGTTTATTCGACAGCAAGGCACGCACAAAATACATAGAATATGATATTAACACAAACAAGTAATTTATACTAATATTATAAAGCTGAAGAGTTTGTTTTTTTGTTTGTTTGTTTGAACGCGCTAATCTCCGAAACAACTGGTCCGATATGAAAATTTTTTCCTATGTTGGATAGCCCATTTATCGAGGAAGGCTATAGGCTATAAAATATCGCGCTACGATTAATAGGCGCCGAGCAGAGCGAGTAAAATCGTGCGGAAGTAGCTAGTTGTTTAATACAAATTATAAACTAAAATAAAGAAAAGTACAATGTATTAGATTACACAAATACAATGCTACGATAAATCTTTCGGTAATTACTTTCCTTACAATAGGTTTATGTTGCGAGAGAGTCGTAAACAGGAGCCTATCAGTGGACTCGCTCGACTACACATATTTTATAACCAATCCTTGTTTCTGCCTACCTTACCTCTGATTACTATTATAATATTATTTTATGGGCTCGTATTATTTTCGTTACTTTGTGGTATTGATGACTTAAGTCATCGCAAATCTAAGAAATACGGCTCCGGCACGGTTCCAAGTCAAAGTCAAAGCATTTATTTCAATTAAACCATAATATGGTACTTTTGAAACGTCAACAAATACAAAATAAATAATAGTCTGTCAGTCAGTCCGTCAGTGAAGCTAGGTGAAGCTAGGTACTCAGCAATGTCATTGGTATTTAAATATGAACTTTAATTCATATGTTATATGACACATTTCATAACGTCAACGTGGCTGGGCAACTGGCTGCCGCGCAACGTGTCGCGGGTGCGATTCCCGCACGGAACAACTCTTTGTGTGATCCACAGATTGTTATTCCGGGTGTGATGTGAACTTGTATGTTTGTAAACGCATCTACGACACAGGAGAAAATCTTAGTGTGGGGCAAAGTCTAAAAAATTGTAATGAAACTGTAAGCGGAACGCCCGCGCACCGACAGAGCGCTTATAAAAATTTTGTGTTGTTGCCAAATCAAAAAACGCCTTGTCGGAGTCGTGGTTGAGCCGTTGTGGAGCCATGCCGGAGCCGTGTCTGAGCCGTGCTTGTTGTGTCTGAAGACGTTTACTTTCCTTAGCTCTTACCTCCGTAGTGTTGAACAAAGATTTTAATCCTCTTGTTTCATCATCATCAACATGGAACACGTCCACTGCTGGACAAAGCCCTCCCCCTTAGTCCTCCACGTCGAACGACAACTCGCCACCCACATCCACTGGCTCCCCGCAACTCGCTCTCCTCTTATCAAGACTATATCAAGACGCGATCAAGAGGCGAGGACTACCTTATAATACATTACCCAGAAATTACTTAAGATACGCTCGAATACTGAAAGTCTGTGCAGTTTTTAGTTGTACTTAAATATCGTGCTATCTCTGTCATTTTATAAAGAATTTGTAGAGACAGAACTATACTTAACCGCGATTTAAATTTGAGTATTTGGACATTAACCACTAAAATAACATTGTGTTATTATTTTGTCAGCTATTTTATTACCTTTAATTTTTATATTTCAATAGTAGGTAATAAAAGTAAACAATTTAATTATTTATTATACATTTTATATAACGTCAATTGTAACACATTGAGGCGTTCCGCGCGCGCCTCTAAGAGCCATCAAACTACCACGGAAGGGGCCGAATAGGGCTGATGCACATATGGAGCCCCTCTTCAAAAAAAATATTATACAGGTTATAAACTGAACGCTTCCGAAAAAGTAGACAAACATTTTAGTTCTTTTATATCAATCGATTTTGTACATGTAAATTTATTCGTTTTTGTACATATTGATGGCGATTCTAAATTAACTTGCAAGCATGTATGTATCTCGTTATTGGCTGAACTGATTTTGATACGGTTTTCTCGGTTTGTTGAACTTAGGAGCAGGTTTGGTATTTACTTTTTTTATGGCATAAGCAGCATGAGATTGGGGAAGGGAAGGATAATTGGGCCTCCGGTAACCTCATTCACACGACGAAATACAACGCAAGCGTTGATTCACGTCACGATACACAATTTTAGACTCCATGCTACAACTGAGATTTTATTTATGCCCTACCCGGGATTAGAACTCTAGACCCCTTGCCCGGCAGTCGCACTTGTGACCACTTGGGCAACGAGGCACTAATATATATATTACTCTATGTATTGGATATTTTATACTTTCGTCATTCAATTTGGTGGGTATATAACTATACATATATTGTACATATATGATATAGTACCTATATATATGG